GCGTTACAGTCGTCGAGACAGGAGTTAGCCGCAAACAGATTTGCCAAGAGGTCGGCTTTATCTTGCGGCTTATGGGCTAGATTGCCGTCAGAATATCTCAGCGGGGGCAGCGAGGGCTGGCAGAAGTTCGACGCAACGGCTCTGGCCAGACGCCAGTAACTACGACTACCAGTGGGATGCGTCAGGAGTTCTTGGCCAACTCGTGCGACGCGCTGAGCTTATAATATAATACTGAGAGAATAGCAAAAGGCCGGTAATTTCTTATATCACTCTTCGCGCCACTGGTGTACGGGTATAACTTTAGATATTTTCCAACGTCGTGGGTACAAGTTTGTTCTAATTGATAGGTTATTTATATAACAAAGTGGTATAATAAATACTTCGCAGCAATCTTTGACCACAAACTGAGGGATCCCGTCAGGGCCTTGTTTGAATTTAGGTGCTAGGCGTCTATAAGCTATGCGCACGTTAATCTCGTTAATTTCATCAACACTATTATGTCTCTGGAAGGTGGCAAGATGTGGAAAAGTAGCAGCACTGTCACAAGCATTTTCGACACAGAGATGTGGTAGAGTAGGGAGGAAGACACTTCGTAAAAATTGAGCAAATGAGTCAACTATCTCCTGGGGGCCTGTAGTACCAAATGTAGCTGACTGACATGACATTTTGTGCTTCTTCACAAACGCCCAGAATAACGAATGATTTCGCTTGGTATCCCTCTGAATAATTTCATAATATTTTAATCAAATTGCATTTAGATCTTCTCAGAACCATTTTCCTACATTTAATAGTAGAAAAAACCATAATAGAGTTGATAGTTTGTTTTTTGTACATTTTGTGATATTTGTTTTTGAGTTTGTTTATATATATAATTTCAGCAGAAAATTAAACCAAATAGTTAGTAGGCTTACTAGAGTTCTTAAATGGAACAACTTCCTCTACTATATAGTAAATAGCTGAGTACAAGTAGTCCACAGCTTCATCTAAATGTCTTATTTGATAAAGGGGCATCCAATCTATTTCAGATATTCTTATGTAAAGTAGGTGCAGGTCGGCTTTGCGAAAATTCCTAATATTGGGCGCTGGGATATTGCCAGAAGGCTTTTGATATTTGAGATTCACATTGGGTAAGCTAATAGATGTATCAAGTGGCAAATGATGCACTTCATCAGAGACCAAACCACGCACAGCGTCAGCCACTGAAACCTCTAACACCGCTTCGTTTGTCAAAACTAAATCTAATATATGTCCTAAACTATTAATTACATTGCACATTAGAGAATGATTACGTGATGATAAAAACATTTGAAAGTCATTACGTGCTGTAGTTGTAGTCGAATATAAATTAAAAGCACCAACAGTGATTACCGGTAGGTCATAATAATTTTGTAATAATTTTTCAGCGCTATTAAAAACAGAATAATATACAGATACAGGTAAGGGAAGATGTAAATACACTACACAACATATAAAACGAACCGGACCTCTAGACACCACTGCACAAGCAAGTTCATGCTCATCATCGATGGCAGTACCACACTCCACGGGCACGTGCCGCAAGCAGGACGCCCCCACCTCCACGTAAGCAGCGGTCGCATTGCACTATACTCAATCTTGGCGGGAACACTTCAGAGTCATGTACTGACTGAGTCATTGAGTCGGGTCTCCGTTAGCGCCAATATGGCAATAGAAAAAGTGCGTTTTTAAATTCATCTTTCTTGCCATTGAGACCTCTTCCGTTTTGGTAAAAAAGTTAAACTTTACGATGTGGTTTCATGACCTTTTTGTCCAAAAAATGTCCTACTGGAGGTGGTGTTCATGTAGTTTCGTTTACTTTTGTGCATGAACCATTCTTGAAGTGATACATTTCTCGGTCATATTATATTTGTGTGTCTTTTGCTAGCTCGGGCGGCAACAACGTAAGTTTTATTCGATTAAACTATCGGTACCTACGTTATTTCCAATTAAGTGTGTTTGTAGCGAAGCGCAACTGAGATAAATCTGTACAGTGTTATCGTGATAAATTATTGTAAGTATATTATTTCATTATTATTTTATTTATTAATTTATTTGTGAACAATACTCGACTACTTGATACCTGGAATGGATAGATTATGTAAAAAAATTATACTTTTTCAAAAATAACTATAACTCACGTTAGGGCGCGTTCCTATTATGTCGGGTTAACAGATAATTATGCGGCTTAAAGTGTCGTGCCTTGCATATTTAAATGAAGTTGTTCACATAATTATAGTACAACACGATTAACTGTCGTTCACGAATTTTTTGACGTTACGACGACAAACTGTCGTGATAATGGGAAGAACTAAATCAACAGTCGTCTGACGATAAATAAAACGTCACGATAAAGATGTGATGACAAAAAATCCCAGCTTTAAAAGATTCTGTCGTGTAAACGACAAGGCGCGGCGGCAGCCGTGAACCGATAAATTGTCGTCACGATATAGTGGGAATAGCTAGACACGACATCGATAAAATAAAAGTCTACGACACAGTCACGACAGATAATCGTGATATAGGTACAGGCTGGACGCGACAGTCGTCCAACGATAACTAAAACGTTACGACATACGCGCCCTTAGGGTTCATTTCTTGGATGTCATTTTAATTAATTTTACCGAGCTACATTATCACTCTATTTAACTCGATTTTAATCGATTTCACAAAAATACAATACTTTGATATGGCAAGACTGGTATAGAATTTTGATTGGTTGATGAGTCGGGGAATCAAGTTTTGTGTGTTGTGATTTGGTTGACGGTTGATGTGAATACGGTTAACCAATCGGGGCACTGGGGTTTTACCCACCGGAAAAAGGTGGGAAAGGAGAGGTTGGGCCAAGTTGCGCCATTTTCGGATGCATTCCGTGTTAAGCAATGAAAAGTGTTAGTTATCAAAAGTAAAAGAAATAAAAGTTAAATAAGTATTATTTATCAACGGAGTTTCCTTATCTGCCCATAGGATCTGTTAGGACAGTGAGTTATTATAGTTCTGGCAACGTAAGTACACGCGCACATTATCTTTTCTCGTACCTACCATTAAGTATTTCTTTCAAAAGTGAGAGTAATTTTTGTAGTATCAATATGGTGATAATGTGGTATATATCTAAAAGGTCAAAATGCTTTAGTTTTTACTTTGTTTGTCTTTAGTTACTGGTGGTTACAAAAACCAGTTAAAAATCACTTATTTATGACGTAGCATGCACCGTACTCGAAATATTTAGTTTATTTTTTTCCTATCTGAAATACCAAATCAACATTTTTTAAACCTGTGAGTTTTTAGACAGCTGCTACTGCTTGAAACTTGGAGGGTCGTCGCAATCAGGCATAAACGTGTACAAAGTCAGCCTAAATACCATTGTCTTACAAATAAATGGACGTCGGGTCCGCGCTAAAAAGTGTCCGCACTTGTAAGGCGCTAAAATCGTATACAGAGCGCCAAACTGCGCTTTAGTCTTCATTTGTTCGACTGACAGCGCGATACTGCGATGACATTACATTTTAAATTTCGAATAGGTTGACTTGGGACATTTTTTTCGTGGTTTTTGTATTAGACCCGTCGTCCATTAAATACCTATATAATACATATGCGATATTGTTGGATCATTCCAAAGTGATGAGTGGGACATTTTGACTCCTTTTTTCTCGAACTTTAAGTAATTTCTCCCTAACCATTGGTTTATTAGACTTAAAATGAACATATCATGAAGCCAGATAGGCAACTCAACCGCGACTATTTATTTACATAAATTTATGACATTATATCTCAAAACTTTTCATTTTCTAAGTGTGACGGTTGGGACACTCACGACACGTGCCTGAGTTGATGGCTTCATTGCCAAGATCACGACAAACTATTAATATTTTGACCAGCAAGTTTTTCGTATGTGATAACTTGAATGTCAAAGTTCTATTTTGTATATACATTTCATTAATAACTTTGATAAATTTTAAGGAAATTAATATGTTACGTAGTGACGGTGGGGCACGATTTAAGCCCCTTGTTCGACGCGCACGTGTTCCATCGCCAGTCGCCGTTTGAATGCACCATGTCGTATTTACATCTATTTTATATGCAGTAAAACGCAGCTTCATCGCTCAGGCGTTCCAACGCTGACTCAACGGATCGAGTAACATCTCTCCCCGAAGTCTTCAGGACCCAGCAGAAAGCTGAGGTTCTTGCAGGAGTTTGTGTGGCATGAGAAGGACCCTGCAACCGCCACACGCAAAATAGTCACCTGGACGTCGAGTTGCGGACACCAGCCCGTTACACCATACCATACCATACCGCACATTTAATATAACAATTTCAAACAAACAGATTAAAAAAAAAAATCATGTTATTGCATTGTTAGACGCTATTTAAGAAGTTTATTGTTTGTGTAAAAATCAGTTAAATTAAATTAATTTTTACTCGATTGCGTCAGAAAGAGTGTTATGTTTTTCGAGCGTATATATGATGTATGTTCATGCATTTCTATGTCCATTGTACAGCCTAAACGGCTTTATAGATTTTGATATATCAGGTGTCGTTAGTTCTAATATGGGTACAACTATAGCGGGTGCTAATTAGCTTGCGTCTTAACTGTCATGGCAAAATAAGCTCTAAGTATAATGTTTAGCTTTTACGTTTTAACTTAAATGAGCGTCTCTGGCACGCGGGCGAGACTGGCTTCAATTTGGTCTACGCGGCGGCCCGCGCGGCGGCCACGCGGATTATTATTCACAGGAATTTAAATATTGTTGCCTAGTGAATAGAATTCAGATTCGCCATTAATGTACATGAAAGCATGGTCGCCAGGCGGCGGCCGCGCGAAATCTTTCGCCTCGTGTAACTGGGGCCTTATGGTGGCCAAGTGGAGCAAAAAGAAAAACGATGGCGATGGTCTGACGATATTGTCAGATTTCCGGGATCGCGCTGGATGTGAATGGGCCACAATATCGAAAATTGGCGCAATGATGATGATGGGTTGATTTATGAATAAAATTAAGTAATTCAATCGGAAAATAAAATTGTAATTCAAACTGGGACATATTACTTATGTAGTTTCAATGGGTACACTTGAATTATGTTAGAAGACCGTTTACAGTAAAGGCGGGGAGGTGCGGAATGACCCTCCTAAAATCATCGATGGTGCAGCAGAAGCTGTAGCCTATATCGACGCGGTCAGGCTGCCAACGGATCCAGTTGAAGGCACTATTACCACGGCAGCGGTCAATGCAGAATTGCAGCACACGCGCCTCGTCTAACGTATAGTGAGGGTTGTTGATGCTGATAAAGGCTGTGCCCAGGCGTCTAGTTGCATCATACGCCACCTGATTAACAAAGTTATAAATCTCTAACTAAGATTATCTTGGGTGCAAGTGTATGCACTGAACATATTTTTAGGTGGCGACGTGATTTCCTACAATTCAAAGCGTTGCCTGTCTTTTATCTGATATGCAGGCATCCTAATAAAGTTTGTTTTTGTTTAGTTAAGCCAATGGTAATGATTAGTAAATTACTTACCTTATAAAAGTACAGCGGCACTGGAACTTGGGTATTGGTGTGCAAATAGATGTCAACGAATTGACCTTGTGCATTACGGAGTTGAGTCACACCAAATGTTCCTGTGTAAATCGTAGTGTGGTACCCAGCAGCTCCAATGCGAGTACGTAGGTTCTGTAAAAGAAGTTACATATGAAATACCTCAATAAATGATTTTTATCTTTTTAAGCTCCTTCCGTACTCACATTGACGTAAAGTACCCATATAGATAGTTCATTCTTTTTCTTGACTTCTTGAATGTTCGCCGTTCAAAATAAATTCAACTTCGGTTAGTACAAAGTACACTGTTATAATTTTGAATAACAATGGCATTTACCTGCTCCAGTGAGTTCCAGTTACCAGCGTTAAAAGGTTGCCATTGAGGGGCAGCGTTAATGAACCAGAATGAGGCTTCTTGACCAGTAGCGAAAATGAAATCAGTCCTAGCAGCTAGATGACCACGAGATAAGAACTGTGTGTCGTTCACATATGTATTTCTGCCAGTGAGTTGAGCTATTCTGTTTCTTTGGTGAGTCTGAGTGTAAAGATTGTTGATATCCACTCCGGGGAAGAAGGTGCCGGCTGAAAACAAACATGTTGAACATATCGATTGAGGTACATAAATTTTGTGCACTCTATTACAATATGTATGGGTATGTATAGTAGTAGGTAGGTGTAGGTGCTATATTTACAACATAAGTGTATGGGGGGAAGATAGGTAGGTTTAGGTACAAGCTAACCATGTAGCGCAAAATATTTCAAGCCAGCATTTATATGTGACTGAATAATTTTCTAATGCCCATTTAAGTATTGAAGCATTTAGGGTATAGTATCATTCGGAGTTGTTACTTACGGAGAAAATTGGGTCGCTCAATATTACTTTGAGGGGCAGCGTTGGCCGGGGTCTGTGGATACCACACATATATAACTTCTAACCGGCGCTGGTCAAAGCATGACCAATATAAAGGGTAGAAAACACCTTGGACGATGAAACCCACTCTGTAATAAGACGTTTTAAATTATTTATCATAATCTAACTTTACACGTACAGTTATTCTATTTTCGCAACGTCTCTCGACAAACTTCGTGTTTCGGCTGTCGTCGGGGTTTATTCTTTTGTCCATTGCCTTTAGTACAGACCGGACGCTTTCAATCGACTTGGAAGTATATATATAGACTTGCTATTACATTTTTTTTAATCAAATGCGATATTCAATAAGAGTCACTGGAAATTTGATTTATTTTACTTACTCAATATATTGGTAACTACAAACGGTTTTTCTAAGTTTTTCTATTTTTTTATTTATTATCCAATGATAATTTGCAGCGTGTACATGTATTTATTACAAGAAGCCGATACGTTCACGAAAGACAATTATTTTCAAGAAGTCCAAAAACGCATTTCTGTAGTTTGTGGTGTTTCAATCGTAACAGTAAAGAATATTTTAAAAGAATATGATAAAAAAGATAGATAGATAGATACCCGAAAATCGTATGATCGTTGTTATGATTATTCATACTTATTACGTGAAGTCTACGTAAAGTACGGAGATTGGGATCATTACTGTAAGTGTTGAATTTTTTGTCAATTTTATTTAAAGTAATTTAAGTGTGTAAGTTGGTTTAAATAGTTACCGTGCTCGCATTTACAAAATATCTGATTTAAGCGATCTCAAACGTAAAAGAGGGACGATTAGAACTCATTTCACCCTATTTAAAAAGTTTCTTGTGCCGTTGTTGGAGCAAAAGAAACCAACTCAAGTGTCAATTAATTAATGTGTATTGAGATTATCTACCGAACCGAACCGAAACCGAACAGTGCTTTAATCTATTTGAGGAGGTTCAATCCAATATATATCCTGTAATAGGATAACTCTGAAGATGAAGTAAATCAACCACAGGTCACAGAAAACTAATTTTATAGTGTGATTGCTCAAGCACGAGAATTTATTGCCGCCTTCAAGGATAACCACCACCAGAGGGACGAATTCTTCAGTCAAAGCAGCCGCCAGCGCGGTGGTTCTAAAAATATTAAACTGCCACAACTGAAGCTTCCTCCCTTAGATGGAAAGACAGATAAGTGGTTGAAATTTAGGGATCTATATCTGTCTTTAATCGACGATCTTGATAATATAATGTATAAATATAATAATAACGATAACAAGGATCTTGATATGTGTAAATTTCATTACCTTAAGTCGTACCTTGAAGGTGATGCAAGTGTTGTGATTAAATCTGTGTCTGTCTCAGCTGAGACTTACCCTATCATATGGTCGCTTCTGCGTGAAAGATACGATAATAAGCTTTTGTTGATTAATCAACATTTAAAATGTTTGTTCGGTATTGAGCCCTTGTCGAAGGAAAGTTGTAAAGGCATACGTCAATTAATAGATAACCTATCTAAAAATTTGCAGGCTCTCAAATCTCTTGGTGAAGACACTGAGAAGTGGGACACTATAATTATATTTATGGCTTCGTCAAAACTTGACAAAGCCACGGCTAGGAGATGGGAGGAGTTCAGAAGCGACATCGCTTCTCCGTCATTACAGGACTTTTATAAATTTCTGCGCAATACGGCTGATGTTTTAGAAACGGTGTCTTCTGCTAGGACAGTTTCAATAAATAAAAGACATAGTTTATTAAAAATAAAATCATTTATAGCTTCAACAACTGTTGAGCAGCCGTCGGCACCCTCTGGTTACGAACGCAAGTCCTGCAATAAAGGTCATAAATTAATTGAATGTCCCAAGTTTAAATCCTTGTCTGTGGATGAGCGCTACCTGCAAGTAAGCCAGTGGAAATTGTGTAAAAATTGTTTACGCCCTGGCCATCTAACATATCAGTGTCGTGTCAATGGGTGTAGCATCTGTAAAAGAAGACATAGTACACTATTACATAAACAAATACTCAACCAGCAACAAAGTGGAGAGGAAGCAGCTGTTGTTTCAACTAAGAATAATTAGTGTTCGTATACGTTACCATCATCTTCAAGTGTTGCTGTTCAAGCTGAAACGGCGATTTTATCAAACACTACTGTCACTATTGACAGCCGTAGATTCTGATCAAGTTTTGCTTTCCACTGCGCTTGTCAAGGTGACATTCAATGATAATAAGTACGTCCTGCGCGCATTGTTAGACAGTGGCAGTTAGTTCTCATTTATTACTGAAAGGGCTAATCAAAGAATCGGCTGTAATACGATTAAAGTAAATAATTTTGTTTCGGGTATTAATAAATACACTATTGAAAATAAATGCGTCCTGTGATTTGATGTTAAATTCACTGCACACCTCCTTAACTGGTACTGTCAAGTGTTATATAGTTCCGACTGTAACCGATAAACTTCCTTCTATGAAGGTGCAAACACAATTAAATATACCAAATAATTTATCCCTAGCGGACCCAAAGTTTCACTCTCCGGCAGAAGCGGATTTACTGATGGGCTCAGGCATATTCTGGGACCTAGTTGGGTCCAATCAGGTTAAACTGGGTAAAAATAAACCAGTCCTGACAGAAACAAAGCTAGGATGGATAGTGGCTGGCCCTACGGGGGGGAGGCCCAAGGACTCTTCGAGGTCTCAAAATATTCGATGTAACTTTTCTCAGGACATTAAAGAGCAACTATCAAAATTCTGGGAACTCGAAGAGTTGCCTTGTACAAAAGCTGTTACCTCATTCAGGATAATTATTGTGAGAAGCTCTTTACTAACTCTACCTACCGTAATAGTGAAGGGAGATTTGTTGTGAGGATCCCTTTTCGAGAATCGCCAGATGCCCTAGATGATTCGTACAAAATAGCGGAAAAAAAATTGCTTAGTATTGAAGGGAGAATGTCTAAGAATGCTAAATTTAGACAAGGCTATTCTGATTTTATTAAAGAATATGAGAATCTTGGGCATTTGACTGATGTCTCGGAGGCTGAATTTGGTGGTCAGTTTCTGCCACATCATGCGGTACTAAGAACAAAGTGAAATTACCAAACTTCGAGTTGTTTTTGACGCGTCAAAATTCAAATTCAAAATTCAAAATAATCTTTATTTCATAGGTAAGCATTATTACATTTCAAATCGTCACAATAGTTAAACTCTACCGCTCATTCGTAAGGCAGATTCCCCTGAGAAGAATGAGCAAGAAACTCTAGGGGTTGCTCTTTGCAAATAACATTTACAATATTTTTTTTTTATTTGAAACATCAGAGATCGAGACTACCTCCATGAGCTAAACGGGTTACTACCACGGATTTTTGTCATCCAAGTACGCAGAAGTTGTAAAATAACCTTTAGTATAAAGTTTTTGTTTCACTATAGTTTTAAACCTCGTGAAAGGCAAATTTTGTATATCAACCGGAATCTTGTTATAGAAGCATATACATTGCCCCTTAAACGATTTTTTGACTTTGTGAAGACGACTATCAAGAAAAGCTAGTTTATTTCTATTCCTTGTATTAATGTTATGTCTGTCACTATTTTTCATAAATAAATTGCTATTCCTTTTAACATAAATTACATTTTCATAAATGTACTGTGAGGCTAGTGTAAGAATGTTAATTTCCTTAAACTTATCTCTCAAAGATACTTTGGGGCTCAGATTGTAAATTGCCCTAACTGCACGTTTCTGCAGGACAAAGATTCTATTGATATCGGCGGCATTACCACAAAGCAAAATGCCGTATGTCATTAGGCTGTGAAAGTAGCTGAAGTAAACCAATCTAGCGGTGTCGACGTCTGAAAGTTTCCTTATTTTTTTAATCGCGTACACTGCAGAGCCGAGCCGTTTTGATAACTTACTTATACGGGGACCCCATTGCAATTTAGCATCTAACGTTATACCTAGAAATATAACTGTATCCACAAGATTCAATTTTTCGTTTCTAACTACAATGTTTGTAACCGTCTCTCTAACATTGGGTAATGTAAATTTCACACAATTGGTTTTTTTCTCATTAAGAAGTAGGTTATTAACAGCAAACCAATCAACTACTTTAGATATAGCATTGTTCACATCGTCGTAGGAACATTGGTGCCTTTTAACTATAAATAATAAGGAAGTATCATCAGCAAACAATACTATCTCATGTTTTATACCCTCCATAAGGCTAGGTAAGTCATTAATATAAACTAAAAATAAAAATGGGCCTAGAATTGAACCTTGAGGGACACCCATGCTAATTGCAGATCCTGACGATCTCGTACCGTTAACATCGACCCTCTGTACCCTACCACGCAAATACGATTTTAGAAGGTCGAGATCACGTCCCGCCACACCATAATGGCGAAGTTTCCTGACCAGTGTATCATGGTGCACACAATCAAAAGCTTTGGAAAGGTCACAGAATACACCAATAGCGTCATGTGAGACTTCCCATGCATCAAATATATGATTAATCAACTCGACACCAGCATCGGTTGTAGAGCGACCCCGAGTGAAACCAAATTGTTTAGGAGACATTAAGTTATTACTATAAAAATGTGCACACATCTGATTTAGAATAATTTTTTCAAATATTTTACTGAGAGTTGGTAGTATTGATATAGGTCTGAAATTGGTGGGGTCAGAAATACTACCAGATTTGAAAAGTGGAATAACTTTACTTTGCTTCATGAGGTCAGGAGCGTCTGCTAAAACAACATCAGGAAAGTCATTGAACGATATACAGTATGTTGGGCCTGTAGTGCAAGACGACTTACTGTCTATATTATTAAGGTTCAGGCAGCATAAATATATAGTTACAGCGGATAAAGAGAAGATGCTAGTAGAGCCCAGCCAACGCAAATATCAACAGATTCTTTGGAGAGATCAAGAGTCTCAAAATATACGTATATTGCAATTAAACACAATAACTTATGGCACAGCTTCGGCTCCTTTTTTGAGTACGCGATGTTTGCTGCAGTTGGCTAAGGAATGCGATAACCAAATTATCTCTAAAATAATACAACATGATTTTTATATGGACAATCTGACTGGTGCGCAGAATGAAGCTGAACTGAGCAATATATGCGAATTAGTCAC